AAACCATTTTAAAATATAGCATAATTTTTTAATTTATTGATTTATAAAGTCAAAAGTGCCCTAGCAAGGTTGTGGTGAGTGATACTCGTGTCTTAAAAGCACTTATTTACACATAGTGGCAGAATTTATGACCTCGAAATCAGTAGTTCTTTATTTTTATTGCTAACTATTTATTTAAATAGTTCAAACTTAAGAAAAAAATTTTCTGTACTTTTTGTTTTTCATTAACTTCAATGTCATTAAAGAGATCCCAAACTCCCAACACATGTTGTGTTCATATTAAAGATAATGTTAAAAAAAAGGTTTGAACCAAGTTTTTTTGATTAAAAATAAATAATGAATGCATACCGAGAAAAACTAATGTTGTTGTTTTAGCCGAAGCTCGCCTTCTCCATTTTTTCAATAACTCGGTGTCTTCAAATTATACGTCTCACTTTTTTTGATTATTTGTTTAGTTTTTTTTCTTTATATTTTTAACATTTAAAAAGTTATTAAAAACCTCAAATTCGGAGGTTTTTAATATCTTTTTAAAAACACAATAATTTATAGCAACTGGTTTGTAGTTATAAATTGTTATTGCACCATATATTTAATGTTTATAAATTATGAACATTTATCATCTCAATCAAGATTCTGATGAAAAATTGTTTTACACTAATTACCTGTATAAAATTAGTAACAACATTTTTATTTGGTTAGATGGTATTTCGTTTCAATTTGCTTTGCATAAAGTTCGGAGAGTCAAATGAAAAAAATTAGTTTGAATAATCATGTCAAAATATATTTAAAACAAATTGTTTTAATGACAGGGGTTCTCAAGTTTTTTATAACAAATGTAGGTAAAAAATAAATAACTAAATAAAAAGTTCATCATTAAACATCGTTTCTTCATTGTATTGCAACTGTAAATATTGAAATATTAAGTTGAACTAAATTTACTTATTATTTAGAACAGCTAAGCAATAAAAATAAAATGCCACTAAAATTATGCGATATTGTGTTGTTTATTTAATAATTGTTGTTGGTAATGTTGTTTATGTTGATTATTTTCATTAATATCAAAATAGTCTCAGATTAATCTGTTAGCTGCTTTGCTCATTGTTGATTTATTTCTAATTTAATTTTATCTCAAAGTTTAATTTTATGTTAAAAAAGAAAAGTTTTTATTTCATCGCACGCTCTATTTATAAAAGAGTAGAACAAAAGAGAAAGAAAAGTTTTGCGTAGTTAAACTTTGAATGAATAAGAGTTATATAGAATATATATATATATTTTTGCGTCACTCATTCTTTTTTTAGATGAGAGAAATAAAAGTTTAATAGTAACTTTTCTTTGAATAAATAAGGATTGGAAAAGAAAATTGCTTGAAAATTTGTATTTGTTAATTGTGTTTTTAAAAGTTTTTAATTTTGCATGTTAAAAGACAAATGCCAAATACGACAATAATAAATATAAAATACCTAATATAATATGTTTTTTAACGCGGGTTATGATATTTTGACAATTTAAATTACCATCAATGGGGCCGCCATCCATAAAGGGCGTCATCCAAATAGGGGGAGGAGGGGTCAAGATAAAAAGGACAAAAAAGGATGAGGGGAGGAGGGGAGGTTGTCATAAAAGGACGTCTTTTATAGATTTTTTTTATTTTAGTTTAATTAACATGGAAAACTATGGAAACATGTGTTTTTAAGAAGATAATGTATGAGAATATATTTAATTTTATTTTTCAAAGGTGTAGCAGCAGATTCAAACAACATTGCGAGATGAAATAAATTTTTTGGAGGTTAAAAATAGGGGAGGGGGTCAGGATTTTATGACGTCCTTTTCAAGGGGGGTATAGAGAAAAAGTACAAGCGGTGACAAAGAGGGGGGAGGGGGTCAAAAATTGACTCAAAAATGGTAACGTCCTTTATGGATGGCCCCTATCCTGAATTATTGCCATTATTTAATGTGTTAATTATTGCGTTATTTAATGATAATTTGTCTGTATTTTTGTTAAAATAGATTTTTGTTAAATTAGTTGTATAAAACAGGTAAAAATATACGAACTTCATGTTTTTTATTTGACGGTTATAAAATATTGAACAGTAAACTAATAATCAAAATTTATAATGCCGACTTGTGTTGCTATTAATTGTACTTTTAATTATATGCCAAACCAGGATCTCATATATCCTTTCACAAATTTTCATATATAATACTACTGTCAACTGTATTTTTTAGTGTATTCTTGTACTTTTTTTTCATAACCTTAACAGGTTCTAATTGGTATGGAGTTGTTGACATTTTAAAAACTTCATTATCAAAAATCAAATGTAAAATAAAATGATATTTCCTTTTTATCCGTATCCAATTCAGCAAATTTAGTAATTTTAATTAAATCAGCATAATCAAAAAATTTTTATAATAAAAAAAGTTAACAATTCAAAGATAACAATTCATCAAATATCTCCAATTAATATTGTCAGTTTATGAAAGAATTATTAATAAATACTTTTTTTCGACAAGAAAATAAAAAAAATTGTCATAGCGTAAAAATAACCAGAGAAGTTAGAAAATAGTTCCCATTGTTTAAATAAAAATAAGAGTCAGAATATATAATACTGCGCTCTCTTGCACAAAAACGAGAGACCGTATATAAAACATTCTATATAATGTAAAATACTCGTATGAAAATCATAAGATTGGTAAGTAAAGTTTTAATATTTGTTTTAATTTAAAAATTATAGATATATAAGTAAGATATATAAATCTAAAAATCATTAAGATATCTGTAAAAAATAAGTTGCTCCTATAAAATATTTGCTGTATGTTAAAAAAATAATAATTTGCTCTATGTTAAAAAAATAAATATGTTAAAAAAACTTTTTGAATTAAAGTAAAAAAATGCAGCTTTGTGCAGTTACACTTTTCATTTGTTAAAAATCTACCGTGGCGTCAAATACTAAACTTTTATGAATTAAACGCGCTTTTATGAATTAAACGCACTAAAACTTTTATGAATTAAATGCGCTTTAAAGAAATCGCTAAAGGCTGTAGATTGCGACGTATAATTTGAAGACTTCGAGTTATTGAAAAAAATGAAGGCGATTTTCGGCTAAAACAACAACATTAGTTTACCTCGGTATGCATTCATTATTTATTTTTAATCAAAAAAACTTGGTTCAATCCTTTTTTTGAACATTATCTTAAATATGAACACAACGTGTGTTGGGAGTTTGGGATCCCTTTAAATCAAGAAGATATTGTAAAGGGCTGTAAATATTCTTTATTTTTATTGCTAACTATATATTTAAATAGTTCAAGCTTAACAAAAAAATTTTCTTAACTTTTTGTTTTTCATTAATTTTAATGTCTTTCAGTAATTTCAATAATGTCATTAAATCAAGAAGATATTGTAAAGGACTGAAAATATTCAATCAAGTCTTTTTATATACAGTTTTACAGTTTTCAGTAACTTTTAGGCTAATTTAATAGACATTTAATATGCCCCTTTCCTTTTAGGGATGGGGGTGTAAACAATGTTCCAACCTTAATGTAACAACCTTAAACAAAGTTTGCTACAGCAATGATTGTCAATATGCTTAGCAAATAACAGGATAATTCAATTTTAGAAATTTTTGAAAACAAATTATCATAGTTGCTATAAAAAACACCAAACAAAATACCAAAAAAAGTGGTTTTAAAAGGGGGTTTTCTAAAATGTTTATAATCTGCTTTGCAATATTTTACTATAAAATTGTTAATAACAACTGTCTAAATAAGACAAAATTTTACCCATTATTTATAAAATAACTTATCTTTTTTTAAAAGTTGTTGAAAATATTTGGCAAATCTTCATCCCTAGAAATTTTTGACAGAAAATAATGCAATGTACTTTTTAGGAAAAAATCTTTAAAATGAACCATACAAACTTCAATTAAGAGTAAACAATGGGCAAGTCAAAAAAATATTTTGATTCTAAACAGAATCTTGATAGTATTAACGGCTGAATATACAATTTTTAAAATTCGCGACCTTGTTAATAGATTAATTAATGATAGAGAATTATCCTTTACAGATAAAATATAAACATTTTTCCTTGAACAGGGGGTAACAATTGCTGTGTTTCTTACAGCTATTGGAGCAATTATTGTATCTATAGTTAAAAGTCTTTTAAAACTAGGCAGTGTTTCTAATCCAAACACTCCAAAATCCAAAAAGATGGATTAATTTGGCTGGCTGGAAAAGCTGGCTCCGTTCTTCCTGGAATAATCTGAGCTATTATCAGTTGGATTTTTTAGGTAGCAGCAAATGTGGTTGGTTTTTTAGCAATAAACCTTTTGGCTTTTTTTACTAGCAGTAGGTCAAATAATAATAAAATTTTTTTATACCTGTCTAAAATAAAGGTGTAAAAAATTTTTTTTTACCTGTAATAAAAATTATACCTATAGAAGCCATTATCCTCTTTTTTATCTGGGGTGGATGCTCTATTGATAATGGTTAATAGGTTAAAATATAAACAAAAAATGTACTCCTAAAGGTTTTACAATAAATATAAAAACTAAACATTTATGATATCTATTATATAATGGATTTTATAATTAATTAATAATAAGCTAAATATAAATAAATATAAATAATAAGTTAATACTAATTTAAATAGGAACTATTTATAGCCAATTTTAGCATTTGAATATTAATAGATTATATAAGTGAAACAATTATCATTAAAACAATTAAAATCATATAGTTCAATTTAAATCATGATTTTAATTTGCTTAATTTAAATCATGATTTAAATGATGATGATGATGATGATGATGATGATGATGATGATGAGGATAATGATAATGATGATGTTAATGATTGCGATAATGATGAAGATAATGATGATAATAATGATTATGATAATGATGATGATGATGATGATGATGATGATGATGATGATGATGATGATGATGTGCTATTTAAATAACTATTTTTATGTAATTTATATACTCCTGTTGTTAAGAAAGACTGAAGCCTCTGTTGATGAATATGAAACAAATCTAATACAAGAAAAAGCAGAAAAGCTTCTTCATCTCAGGTTATTATTTTATTTATTTTTCTTTTCATTTATATATTTTATTTTTCTTTCATTTCAATATTTTTTTTTCTTTTTTTCTTTAAATCAGTTTTGGTTTGATCTGTGTTTTAATATATTCTTTTTTAATCTCCACAGTGCTGCTGTGGTTTCTAGATCAAAACTGGATACCAAGAATACTGAGAAACCTACAAACCATTCTTCTAATAAAAGTATACAAATGTTCTATCCTCATTCAGTAAGATGTGAAAATCTTGGAATAACTGGTGCTTATCAAAAATCACTAAGGCCAGAAGATGACATTTTATATCAATGGAGATTATCCCGTAAAATTGAAAACATTAAAACTTCAGAAAAAACTCTATTGCAAAATAATAGAATTAAAAAAAAGTCTCACAACATTAATGTATTAAATAAAGCAGTTGATTCATCCCTTCGATGTGCATGCCATGCCAATTCAATTCATTCATCATGTTTGTCTCCAGATCTTCAAACAATAGAAATGTTAAAACATCAAAAATCAGATTCAACAGTTAGTTCTTTATGTGAACAAAAGGAGAATCACTTTCCTTATATACAAAAGGAATGTCCTAATGAAGTTTGTGTTGGAAGTTGCCTTTGTTATCATTGTACAGCTCATTGCCAAAGATCTTGTCAGATACTATCATGCAGCAATATGATAAAGCAAGCTGCTGAAAAACCTTTTGATTTATCGGTCAAAAGCAAGAAAGAGAGTTTTTGCATTGAAACTTCTACCCAAACTTCTAACCCTGTTTCCTCTGCGGACAAAAAAAATGATAGACAAACATCACAAGTTTTAACAAATATTAATTTTACCCAACCTCATATCCAGATTCTTGCTTCTACTTCTCCTTCCACTTCTTTTACTACTTCAAAAAATATTTCTACACAAACCTCAGACAGATCTACAAAAAAAATAAACACAAAGAAAAATATCTCTAATGATTCTGCTCTTACTTCTTCTGTAACACCAATATTAACCAATAAAAAATCTACCAGTCATCCTGAAAACCCTACGCTTGGTTGTAACATACCTTCTAATTATTTTTTATCTCAACATAGTTATCAAAAATTACAAGACAACAAATTTTCTGTTATTTCTGACTATTCTAATTTAGAAGATAATGAGAAAATTAAACAAACAGTTCTAAAGAATCAACTTGATCCTATTATAAAAGAAGTGAGTCAAGTTTTTATCTTTTTACTTTTAATCTAAGATATTTTCAAATAAATTTAAATATTTCTATTTAAGGTTCTGAAAGGTCATATCTTTGCTAAAAGTATAGATGATAACAGTATGATTGCAGAAAAAGAATTACAACAACTAATAAAAGAAAATAGCAATGAAAACTGTAATCAAGTTAATGTTTTTTCATCCATTCCATTCCAAGAGTTATCTACAATGAGCAATAATCGTATACCTTTTCAGCAACAGAACTTAATAGGTAAGTTTGTTAAAAAGTATTTACATTTTTAGTGAAACCAAAATTTTTGAGTAAGATATTTATTTGTAAGACTAAGGGTTAGGAAGTAGAAAACTGTGGAGTTTAAACTTAAATATGCAGAAATGGGTAGGTTAGGTAGGACTACATTGTAACAGTTTGTTTTAGTATGTCTTCTTATGTTTCTCTATCTAATCCCTTTAGATTGACTCTTTGCATCTCTTTTTTACTCAATACACATGACTTTTAAACTTTTCAATGATGAAAAGATATTTATATACATATCATACTGTATATCAATAAAAAATTTTAACTATCCTCTTTCAGGAAATATCTAGGTTTTAATAGTTAGCTACATAAAAAATTAAACTGTCTAAGTTCAATTTATCCTTTGAAAAATCCAGAAACTGGGTTCAGCATTATAATCAGCTTTTCTACTGTTCTAATAATTGATACTTATGGTTAAAAAAAAAAATTGGCACTTTTTAGAAAAACCATAGTTTTAGTTGATTCTTATTAACACTGCTGTCACATGAAAAGTCACACTGTGACAAATAAATTTTACTTTTTAAGAAACCAACAAGATTTAGGAATCTGAAATTTCAGAGCAAAGAACTCTATGTAGTAAATCTAAAGCAACACTGACATGTTAAAAAAAAATAAAGCTCAAGTTATTAGCTTTTATTTTTTTAGCATGCTGTGTTGTCAGGCAGTTATGTCATGGAATAAAAATTTAAAAAAATGATTATTTAACTTATTACTAAACTGAAGCCACAAATGGGGTACATAAAACCTTTCTAAGGGATAGTTGTAACTTAATGGAGCTCTAGATGAGTAATATGTTCATCTTTAAACCCCCAAGTGCCGAGACAAGTTGTGTTCATATTAAAGTAAAATGTTTAAAAAAATGTTTGGGCTAAATTTTTTTGATTAAAACTAAATAATGAATGCAAACCATTAATTTTAAAATTCACGTTTTAGTTGAAGCTCGCTGTCTCCATTTTTTTTTGTTTCTGGGAGTCTGTATAAAGTTAGCCACAATCTGCAGGCTTGATGATTTAATTCATGCGTGTTTAATTCATAACAGTTTTGTTATATAATGTCATCGCAATTTCTTTTTAAGATAGCTATTTTTGTTGTTGTTATTTTTTTAAAGATATAAGTATATTTTCTACTACAAACAGAAAATCAAATATTTGTATAATTTTTTACTAAATAACAAAATATTTTTGTGATTTAGTAAAAAGTTATACATATATATATATATATATATATATATATATATATATATATATATATATATATATATATATATATATATATATATATATTATATTTATAATTTTTTTTTTCTTGCTTAATTATACCTATATATTCTGATTTACTTTCATTTTTGGGTGGGATTACAAGGAAGTACTCCATTAAGCTTACATTTATGTGCTTTCTGAGGGCAAGTACAAGTTTTGTACTCCCTAGCAGTCCACCATGCTCGCTTTATGGAAAAAGGTAAGGAATTGTAACTTTATGGCAAAAGGAAGGATTTTGTTGCACATTATTAAATACTTAGCTTTTTAATAAATAAGTATATATAATAAATTTGCTTCCTTCATCTTGCTTTCCTGATTCATATAATTTGCAATCTTTAAGTCGTCTGTCAATCGTTATCTTGCTCTGCAATCTTTATCTTTTCTCTTCCAGTAACTTCCAACACTAATTAGTGGTTGCTTGCAGTCTTGTTGGAAGCAAAGATATTTAAAAAAAAAAAAATTTTTTTTGGTATCTACTACCTAAAGCTCCAGCTTTTGATGGGTGAAATAGCCAATCTTATAAGATTAATAAAGTGGCAATTTTTGTGGCTGCCTTCTAAACTACTGGTTTCTTAAAGCTGAAATAGCCTCTATTGCTCCATATCAGGTAAGTATCAACTTAAAAAATATGATATGCGTAAATATAGTATACAAGGATTCTAGTATGAAAAAAATGGTTTTAATTAATAAAGCATAATTTTTTCTAAACAAAAAATTTAACAATTTTTTATTTCATCCAGGATATGAAATCTTTTTAGCAAATAAGAAGTTTATTAAATTTCAGTGGATCGAAGCCGCCAAACTAATAATCTAATAATCACAAAATACCTATAATTGTGTGTCATAAATTTGGCTGGCTTCTAAAACATAGTAATAATAAAGCAAGAAAAAAAAAATTATAAATATATATAGGTATGTATACTTTTTGTGTAAAAAAGCATAAGATATTACTTTATGTTTCACAAAAAATATAGATACCTATGTATATTTAATATGTACTATGTAGCAATTAAATACATAAGTACCAACAAGTTCAGATATCAAGTTATTGAGCTACTTTTTTAGAGAACCACTGCTGATAATATTTTGATAAAGTTTCCACAAGAATCCATAATCTTCTTAACACTGTTTTACTCAAAATATAAAAGAAATTCAGGGACAAAAGGGAAAAAAATATGTATATGCTAGAGAAAAAT